CTGAAGCTTGAGCTTCTTCCTCAGATACAGGGAATCTGCAAGTAAGCGTGCATTATGGAACCAACACAAGAAATCTGAGCACATCTGTGGCAGTCTTCAAGAACCATTTTTCTCGAAGTATACGGTAAATGCTCAGCATCTTGAGGCGGGCAGGGTGGCTGAAATGAGCACGACAAAGGGATACAAAGGGTGCAAGGCAAAATATACAGAGCGCAAACAATTGTGCAAAGCTGGTGGTTAAGTGCCGGCCATCCGCGTCGGTTGCTTGGGACAAACGTACCGCGAATTTGTCCAAGCGTAGAGTCGATAGGGGAGCAAACCTCAGGGCTTCAAATCGAAGACAAGGTGCTGCACTTCTTCGCGGAGGTCCCTAACTGTGCGATAAGGTTGAGGGTCACCTTATTCCGAACGACATGACACGAAACGGAATTTGTTGGTTGCTCAATTGGGGGCATGGTGAAACCGTGGGCAGGCCGTCAGTGCCTATAGTGATGTTATCAGTAGAGAGTAGCTATCAATTTCAAACATTGGCAAGCAAGTGATGCATTGTTCTGCTATAATATATATATATATATATAGACAAAGCAGGAAGGAATCTTGACCCAGGATCTCTGCTTCTCCAAACTGCGACACCCATGGTGCCAGCTCGCTACAAAGCAATCTTAAAGTGTCCTGCTTGCCAAGCTGCAGGGCACGGCCTCCCCGCTCAAAAGCAGCACGTGGACCTGGGAAATTTGGTCAACTTCAGTGGAGATGTGGTGAACGAATCAAGCGTGTTTGACTGCGCAGTTCGATGACAGTGTAGCAAAGTAAAATTCTATGGTTCTAAGCTTGTCGTCCACTCCGAGAACTTGAAGAATGATTGCAGTGAAGACGATTCATGAACACTGGTTGTCAACCGCCTACTGTAGCAGTTTCTGTCCATGTTCAAAGCAAATCTAAACAATAATAGATAGTGGAACAGTGAAGACCAATCTTGGAGCACCGAGGCACGGGACGCAGCACGCCCATCACCTTCCACTTGTGCCCCTCCTTGGCCATGTCAAATGGGCTCTTGCCTCAGGCCATGCGAAAGCAAAAGCCGACTTTCAAGTCATTCGGAGCGGTTTCTTAGAGAGGTGAAATAGGAGGAAGTCGGGGCATTGACAGTTCTGGGTTCAGCTTGACGATGGCCAGCGGCGCAAAGCCTTGAAACATCTCAACAACGCATGTCCCTGTGGGACGGTCTTCGCAATTTAGCGGTGCAAGGGGTGGGGACTCATTGTGGAGGCAGACTGAGGACGATGGTCTGATACTTATGGCCTTTCAAAACGCTTTCTGGCTATTCTGCCAATCACCCATTCGCTATGCTTGGCTTTGATGGCTTGAGTTAAGATCAAGTTCTCTGCCGATTGTCTCCCCTAAAAAGCATGTCTTGAATCCCTCTCAGGTCGAACACTTGCCGGATTCAGCGGTCCTGAACCTGTTGAGAGTTTTTGTGTTGCCTACGTGAGTGTTTCATTCATTCCTGTGAGTGTTTCATTCATTCCTGTTCTGCAAATCATCCTATCTGCAGTGGCGGTGTGAGGGGGGCTCTTTCTGAGGAAGAATTGAACCCAAACGAACCCAGGTGTGCCTATGGTCTTTAAGCTGATAGGTCGGAATGTTTCTTGTACTGTCCCTCCGCACATGATCTTTTCTTGCACTATTCAGACTTTTTGAAGACTCTCGGGGCCCACCCTCACAGCTTCACTTCTTCCACCGCACTCTGCCACTCCAATTCGACCCAACTGGGCTCCCCAAGGCCTCTGTTGTCCTTGGCTTCGACCTCGGCCTTCGCCGCAAGGAGTCTCTCCACACGGGCAGGTGGCCCTCGAAGGCCGCCCAGTGGAGCGGCCTGCAACCACCTTTTCTGGGAGGAGGGCGGGCGCTTTGATGCACTTTGGGATGGTCAGGGAAGGGCCCTTTCAGCCTCTCTGAGAGATCATTCATACTCCGGTAACCCCGGTACTCCCGTCACTTAGAGAGGTGAAATTCGATGAAGTCGGGGCATTGGCATGTCTGGGTTGTTCGGCAACCCGTTGAGAGTTTTTGTGCTGCCTACATCCTTGGGCGTTTCAGTCATTCTGCGAATCACTCTATCTGCATTGGCGGTGTCCCTCCGCGTATCTAATCTTTCCCAAGCTGCTTCCTATACTTCCACGGCCGGAAGCTTCTCCTCCCTGCCGAAAGCAGCCGGACACTCCGTCCACGCCCTCCAACACTGGGGCGACCCGGCATTTCTTGTCCTGCGCCTCCACGACGGCACCGGCCGCCAGGAGGCGCTCCACCACGTGGCGGTGGCCGCTCCAGGCCGCCCAGTGCAAAGGTCTTTCACCTCAGACAGTCCGAGGACGACTCCGCCTGGTTTTCCATTCCCGGGAAAGGGAAAGGTCTTCAATACGGGGGCTCATTCCGGAGGAAGCCTGGATGTTCTTTTTCACTGCCAATCACCCACTCTTCGACGCCTGGATGGTTTGAGTTTAAGTTCAACTTTCACGCCGAAAATATTATTCTCCCTGTCTGCCAATGCTGAAAGCATCCTTCTCCCTAAACAGATCCCCAAAAACACTTCATCTCTTGAATCCCGTTTTCGGGGCAGGTTAAAGCGGGAAGACCTTTCCCCGCATCTCATGATTTATGCAAGAGTGGTCAAAGACACAAAGCCTCTGTTGTTGCGCACCATCTGGAGTTTGGATGCCACAAAGATCCAAGTACTGCCAGTGCCAATGAATTTTCTAATTTTGTGAGACCCAAACCCTATACCAGCCAGTTCTTTTCTCTCATTCGGTTCGATTATCTTGGAGACTTGTTCTTTCTTGTGACGATACAAATGACCCAGCTTGCACCATGAAATGTTTCACCCGACCCTCGTGACTCGGAGTGAGTCTCTTTGGATCCGGTCGACGCTTCCCGCAGCCTTCGAGCCGCGTCCCGAGCTCCGGGGCTCCCCGGCCGCTCTTCTGCTCTGCGTCCACCGTGGCTTTCGCGGCCAAGAGCCGCTCGAGGACCTCCACGTGGCCCTCTCTGGCCGCGAGGCGGAGAGGTCTATTGCCTCTGGACGCACACGAAGAGAGGCATTTGAGTGGTCAAAAAGCGGTCGAGA